AACTTGGGTAGCTTTGTTTTTGACCTCATTCTTGGCAGTAGTTAAAAGAGCAATTCTCTGCTCTTGATGGGGACAGCTGGCAGGTTCAGAGTATTGCACAGACTTTCGTTTCTGCAGGCATACAAGGAGGATTGCTGTCAGAGGTGTGCCTGCTGTGACAGAGGAAGGTTCTGTCACTGCCCTACTGGCTGCTTTCTGTGTGTGAAAGGAGCCGCAAGAACATACAGTATCTTAAGGGACACTGCGGATCAGCACGATCTGAAAACTTATCTCCTACATATGTGCTCAAGAGATTAAATGTAATATGCTAGCTCTGAAGGTGGCATACTTAATTCTTCTTGTGTAGGGGGACTGCTGGCTGGGAAAATATGAGATGTTGGGGGGGGTATCTAATTCAGTCTGTTGTCGGCTTCAACAAGCCCAGAATACCCTGTGGTTTCTGTTGCTTGTCAGATTAAATGTAAATAAAATGAACCAGTCTTGTTGGTTTAAATGAAACAGTAAACCTGCATTTCTAAATTTAAGCAAATGCTTCCCAATTTCTTTGTGACTACTCTGGAATTGGGCCTCGTACCTATAATACTAAATCACAGTTTAATGCTACACCAAATGTTTCCAGAAAGCAAGGCACAGCCTTCTTGCCCCTTGTTTTAGCAGTGAATTAAATCATATGAGGTGGAGGTTTTTCACTGGAAAGAAGCTGATGTGGCTTATGGCAAGTCTAGGGAATAGTAGGAAATGGCCTGAAAACTACCATAATTTGCCAACCTGTCTTGGTATGGAATCGAGAATATACTTTTTTTCTGTTCTAAATCTGTAGTTTGTGTGTTCGAAGTCAAAACCTTTTTATTCACTCTGTCCAGTTTATATGCATTTTAAAAAATTGTTGTATTTTGGACTGAATGGGAATGGATTTTGATAAAGGGTAGTATATAAATGTTTTAAATAGAAATGCATGTTGTAAAATTTACATATAAATTCTCCATGCAATATAGAGATTCTGCAGCATTGTCAGAGTTATCAACAATATGTTTCAGTTTCATCCACTTGCCATGTGCAGTTTTTTCTTAACAAAAACAGCTGGGACAAAAATTGTACGAGCACATCATTTGCCATTGGAATTTGTTTGTTTGGTCTCATCCAGTGTAATTTATTGGCAGTAGGTTGGCTTCAAGAAGAATGGGCAGAAGAATTCTCAGTAGGCTCAGGAAATGCAAGACTTGTTTCTTGAACCCAGTACCTAAACCTACACTTCTAAAAGTACTGCTGGTTTTATGTTGAAATTCTGAGCCTTTTCTCATAATTAGCAGAACACCTCTCTGTTCAGATTCCTCAGTTTCTACTTGATGACTGTTACAAAAATGGAATACCCTGTCGAATATTTTGCACTCAGCCAAGACGTTTAGCAGCAATAGCTGTGGCTGAAAGGGTTGCTGCTGAAAGAAGAGAGAAGATTGGCCAGACCATTGGTTATCAGATCCGACTGGAAAGCAGGTCTTGTCAATATTCCTGGTGCTATGTATTATTTTACCTATTGTTTATTACGTGTAGCCTGCATAATGTGTATACTGTCCAGAGAGAGCTTTAAGCAGCAACCTTTGTTTTGCTTTATTATATTGTCATCTCACCTTGCCAGCAGAAATAAAACTAAAAAGCGCTCAAAGTGGCTAACAGAATCATCCAACATTTTAAAGAAATTATAAGCATATTAAAACAAGTTTAATGTAGATAAATAGTAACAAATTAAATCATAATAATTAAAGCAATTAAGATGATTACAGTACTCCATAGTATATGCATGTTTTTTCCATGCCTGTGCAGAAATATTTTAGAGAACTGTGAAAGAGGATTAAGAAAATAGAATAAAAATGGAATACAAAATTTAATGTTTGTTTAGTTCAGAATGAGATGGGTAGTCAGTCACTACTTATCAAACACTCTGTGCTTTTACACCTTTGTTCTCATGTATCTCCTTTACCTTTAATTCAAGAGATTATAGATGGAACCAAATGGGTTTGGATTATTATTGCTATATTGTACTGCATAGGCAGTCCTAATTCCTCTTATTCCTAGAGGAAAGTGCATGAATGTGGTTTTTTGAGTTCCCTTTTCCAGAGTAAAGTAGGTGGCAGCAAATGGGTCTTTGCAGTTCTGGTACCATATATAGAATGCACTTTGGAGGATTTAAAAATGCTGTTTATCTTACATTCATTTGGTGGCCAGGAATTTTATGGAAAATTCATCATTGAGATGATTTACTGAAACAACCTAAACTGATGAGAACAAAGAATTCACTACCCTGTTTCCCTGAAAACAAGACATAACCTCAAAATAAGACCTAGTATGATTTTTCAGGATGCTTGTAATATAAGTCTTACCCCCAAAAATAAGCCCGAGTTAAGTGAAACCCTGCTCTCCACCATTGTGCAGGAACCAGAAGAAGATGACATGACTGTATTTGAATAAATGTAGATTGTTGTACATGAAAAAAATAAAAATAAAACATCCCCTGAAAATAAGTTCTAATGTATTTTTGGAGCAAAAATTAATATAAGATCCTGTCTTATTTTCAGGGTAACATGGTATGTATTATTTGTATATAAGGATATCTTACGAGGATAACGGGATAACCTAAATTGACAAATATGTGATAACATGCAGATAGTTCTAACTATTTTTTGGAATCTTAAATGGATATTTGGATATTTTTTGGAATCTTAAATGATTTTCCCATTTTACAGAGTTTCTCCAAAGACACTGTTAACATTTTGCACCAATGGTGTATTACTTCGTACACTAATGGCTGGAGATAGTGCACTGTCAACAGTAACTCATGTCATTGTGGTAAGTATGATCAGTAATTCCTTTTGTATCTACGTAATTTACAATTTTGAACTGTGAAAACTAGCTTAACTTTTTTCAGAGCTTTAAGATAAGCTTTATTGAAATCATAACATACTGTAAGAGTAATAATTAGTGGCCTTGGACAAGCTGCCCAGTCCCAGGATGCCTGCCAGAAAAAGGGAATGGTTAAGCAAATGACACATGTGCAGATTCTCTTTATAAATAAGACTGGGGAATCTTTACTTCTCCAGATGGTTAGTTCTACACAGAACATACTTCCACCATGGACAGTGATTAAGGATTCACCATCCCTTTTGTTGTAAAGATGAGAAACAGCTGCGTGCAAGAAAACAGAATAAGATGATGAAAGAATAAACATTGTGATAATGGAGAAATGATTTAACACAGCCTTAAGCTAGTAAAATAGAAATAGCGAAATCCAGTTGAATCAGTGAAACTTACAGGAACATTGACTTACCAAAATCCCATTTCTATAGTGGATCTCCTTGTCATTAATAGTTGTATTTAGTTTTTGGAGTTTATGGAATTACAGTTTGTTTGGAATTAAAGCATCTAGATAAATATGTCATAATCCTGTGTTTCATGTATACTTGGCATCTTTGCGAAGAATATGCTGTCATAGTCAAAAAGTGAAACATTGTTAGAACTTTTACTATATTAATTTTTTACTATATTAATTTTTGCTCCAAATGTAAGTAGCAATGCAAAAATTTGTAAAACTTCCGTAATGTAAAATGTAAATGTGAATCAAATGTAAATATGTGCAAAATAAATGTTTTGTAATGTGTAAGTATTCTCAGGATGTGTTAAGAAGAGGTATGGCTTGTTTATGTTGCAGGATGAAGTCCATGAGAGGGATCGCTTCAGTGATTTCCTGTTAACAAAGTTAAGAGATACTTTACAGAAACACTCATCTTTGAAACTGATACTCTCTAGTGCTGCTCTGGATGTGAACCTGTTTGTCAGATACTTTGCAGGCTGTCCAGTAATATATAGTAAGTTCAGATTCTAATGGGAATCCATAGTTGAAGTGTTTTTTTTGTCTTTTACTTGGAATACTAACAAACAAGCCTTGGCAACAAATTGTTGTAATAACTGGCAAGGATTTCTGTCAAATATACAAAATTAAGTTTTGTGGTGATTTACTTAGCTTATATTAGAGACATCTAGGAACATTTTGCATTGCATTTGTTTTATGTAATTTTTTTACATCTTTATTATCTTTAAATGGCATACCAAGGCTGATGATGGTAAAGGAGAGTCAAGGGGAGGCAGTCAAATGGAAATTCTTCAAGGAAAGTTAGAGATATTGATCAAAAGTAAACTAAGGTTAATATATATTTGTATAATTTGTTGAGAAGCTGCTGTGAGAGGACAGTTATACTTGTGGCAGTTGGAGAAAAAAACAGTAAAATACAAGTGCAATATAGTGAACTACAGATCTTTCATAATATGGCTATATGATTTTGAAGATGTTTCTTGGCTGACACATGTTAATACTGAAATAAAAATAATTGAACTTCTATGTGATAGTATTATTTTATTATGGAGACACTGATTGACTACTCCTGGATAATTTGTGCATTCAGACATGGGGAATCAGTTTCATTTATAGAAGTAAAGTATTTTATTGATTGATTGATTGATTGATTTGATTTGATTTATATCCCACCCATCTGGTCTGGTGGACCACTCTGGGCGGCTTCCAATAAGGTGTATAAGAAAACATAAGAATTTTACAAACAGTCCATAACACGTACAATAATAAAACAAATAATAAATGAAAGAATAAATAAAGAATTAAATATTGACAGGAGGGAAGGCCTGAACATACAACCATGTTTTTAGTTGAAAGTATTTTGACAGATTATAGCAAATTGTGGCTGGCTGGGTGTATTAGCTAGCTGTGATTTACTCTACTCAGCTGTAAATTCCAGCATAGTACTGCTGTTGCTATGAACAACACAAATGAAATTGGACATTAGCCTCCAAACCATGCTAGTAGAAGAAAAGCCATTTAATTTGTTTCATTTGTATAAAGAAAGTTAAGCTAATTTTTGTGTGCAGTTTAGATTATACACCTCTCTTTTCTAGGTGTACAGAAGAAAGTTACAGCATTTCTGTGCTGTAACAAACATCAGAAGTTTACATTAACGAACAGCTAAGACAAAAAATAGACTGTACAATAGTTTTCTAACATGTTCGAGAAAACAGTACTGCTCATGTGTTTGGATTTTGCACAGAGCCATCAGTGGTCTTCCACATTTCTATGTTCATTAGTCAGCAGAAAATAACAATGAAATCTTTATTTTTACAGTGTTCCTATATAAAGGAAACAGACAAACATAGGACTACAGAAAGCTGTTTCAGATATCGCGCACACACACACGCATATATGTCTATATATATAAAATAAAAAAATTAGTGTGACTCCACGTGTAGGGCTGTCATCAGTTTGTTAATGTGAACGTGTTTCAGTCAAAGGATCGGTACTTGTTGCTTTATATAACAAGATAGAGTATAATTTGAAGTCAAAACATTTACCTTTTTTTGAAGGTTTGCCTGTTCTTTGACCACTGGGCTAAAATGTATGTATTTGTGAGTAGCTGAAAATCCAAAGTAACTCATATATATTTATATTACCACTTATATTTTCAGTACCAGGAAGACCTTTTGAAGTCAAAGAAATGTTCCTGGAAGACATATTAAGAAGTACAGGCTATACAAATAAAGAGATGATTAAATACAAAAAGGAAAAACTGCGAGGTTAGTATCTGTATTCACAGGTGTCAGAAAATAGATATTTCTGTTCTTATCCAAAAGTTGCAAAAACATATTTTTGTTAATTATACCATGAAATATTAATGAGAAAGAATACCATGCAGTTTAGTTCTGACTTTTTTTTCTTCTTCTTTCCATGAAACAAATTACGTTATCAAGAGGAGAAACAACAGACAACTCTGACTGAATGGTATTCTGCACAAGACAATAGCAAGCTAGAACTTCAACGACAAAGGGCAGTTACAAATGTAGCTGAAGATAATGATCTGTTGGATGATGGCGGTGACACAGTTTTCAGTCAGTTGGTATGCATTTTTCTAAGGTTTCCACTATTTTCTAGCAGTAAGAATTATTACCAAACAGAACAGTGCTCTGGTGTGTACACAAAGTTCTTAGTTGGCTTAACCTTTTTTTTTAATAGGCAGTTCCGTATGCACAACAGGGAAACTTCTGGTGAATTATGGAATTGTGGAGCTGGACCCCTGCCTCCCCTTTCTAAATAGAATATTACGATTTTTATATCTTAAGTCAAAAGTGACTGTGACAATCTTCTCTTATACCTTTATAGGGGGAGCAGTTCCATATTTCACAGTTTGAATGAAATTATTTCAAATTTAACTTATCCTCTGCAACATACATTTTCTGACTTCTGCACGTTAATAGGTACTGTAAATTTAGGAGGAAGGAGCTGCTTAAAGGTGAAGCAGTGCTAAAGAGCTCAACTCTGCCTGTGGGTCTCCTGTATATGCCACTGGGTTTGGTTTTATTTTATAGAAAGTATTACTTCCAAGTTGATTTTGTGAATAATGATATAGGATATAGAAAGCAGCATTATCAAGAAGTTTAAAATTGCCTACCAATTTTTGTAGGTATGAAGGAATGGATATAACAAATAATAGCTGTTCTTAGATGGCTTATAACAGTGTTTCCCAGTCGGGGGGGGGGGTTACAAAGTGTTTTCCGGGGGGGGGNTCATGTTATAGCCCTTGTTAAATTTTTTCCTCTTTGACCTTTCAGAGTGGTATATTAAAGTTGGCTTGCATATATATGTACCCTGTTTTCCCCAAAATAAGGCCTAACCTCAAAATAAGCCCTAGTATGATTTTTTCAGGATGCTCGTTATATAAACCCTACCCCCAAAATAAGCCCCAGTTAAGTGAAACCCCGCCTTCCACCCTTGCGCAGCAACCAGAAGTAGATGACATGACTGTATTTGAATAAATGTAGATCGTTGTACATGAAAAAATAAAAAATAAAACATCCCCTGAAAATAAGCCCTAATGCATTTTTGGAGCAAAAATTAATATAAGACCCTGTCTTATTTTCGGGGAAACATGGTATGAGAAATAGGCTCTTTGACGAAGAGAAAGAAGCCTCTGTATTCTGAAAAGGGATGACTTTATTCCCATTAAAAATGCCTTTTTATGCAAATATGGCATGGGAGTCACAGGTTACTTGGCTATTATAAAAGGGAGTTTGCAGTTTGAAAAAACTTGAGAACCACTTGCTTAGAAGCTGATACTAACATCTGTTCTTGTTTACAGGCTGAAAAAGATGTCAACTGTCTTGAACCTTGGTTAATTAAAGAGATGGATGCTTGTCTTTCTGATATTTGGCTGCATAAAGATATTGAAGCCTTTGCACAGGTGTTCCACCTTATTTTAACTGAAAATGTCAGTGGTGAGTACACATTCTTTATGGAACTGTCCACTCTTAAAATAATTTTAAGCCACAAAGGCCGCCCCAGTATGACTGGGAGTGGGGTGGATTTTTAGGTTCATACTGTTTATAAATGAGATGCAATTTCTTGAAAAAAAAGGTTTTAGGAATTCATACAATATTCATTGAATATTTTATTATTCTGTGATATTACTTCGAATACGTAGGCTGTGACATCATGAAGTATTGCAGTATATTTGCAGTGTTTGTGTTTTTTTCAAAGCATGCAGCTTGATCCTGCATTCAGGAAGTATGCATTGGTTTCTAATGTAAGGCACATAAAAGGTTGCTTGAATATGTACTCGGAAACCTTTTGAGAATAATGGGATCTTTGGACACTATTAAAAGAATAGTTAATATAATTTGAGCAATCTTTTAAAAAAATGTACGCTAAAAATCCATTTTCCCCATCCCAGTTGATTACAGGCACAGTGATACAAGTGCAACAACCTTAATGGTAGCTTCTGGAAGAGGTTTCTTGAGTCAAGTAGAACAGCTGATTGGTATGGGAGCAAATGTTCACATCAAATCATCCAATGGCTGGTAAAATAAGCATAGTAACTTTTAAAATAATTTATCTGTGTGACCAAAAGAGATTGGGAGAAAAAGCAGTTGTAGTGTTTGACAAATAGTTGCATTGGGATGTATCCTAATTTGTAGTATTGATTTTTAAATTTCACAAACACTATTGTGGCATTTTAATTTGAAGTTGTATCCTAAATACAGTAAAAGGAAGGTGTGTGATTTACCAAAGAAATTGTAAAATTGCAGAGGGGAAATGTTCTTATCAATGATTATAGTGGGTTATTGGGAGAGGTAATCTGTAAATGATGCTTTTAAAGAAATAATCCATTATCACTGCACTACCACTACTACACCATGCACTGTCTGAGATACTGTAGTCCTCACTGACAAATAGAAGAGAATTCACTATTTTTGAGAGTGGCTTAAAGTTTAGGCAAACTATTTCAGTAGCAATATACTATAGAGGTTAGCTCAGCCTTCCTCAGCCTGGTGATTTCCTGTTATTTTTCAATTGCAGCTCTCATCTGTTTTGAACTACAATTCCCACCAGTCTTGAATAGCATTTACAGTACATTGGAGTAAAGTGGGCAGTGAGCTATATTGCCAGACTTCTTTAGCTTCTTAGCCAAAGTTTGTGGAATTTCTCATCCTGGTTCTAATGTTCATGTTCATAAAAAACATAAGCTGGTTGTTGTGGGTTTTCTGGGCTGTTTGGGTGTGTTCTTAAGGTTTTTCTTCCTAATGTTTCGCCAGTGTCTGTGACCAGCCTCTTCAGAGGACAAGAGTCAGAACTCTGTCTGTGCTCTGTTGCAGTTTGTTGAATAGTTGATTATTTATAGCTGTGGGAACAGCTTTTGTCCTTTTCAGGAGATTGAGTGATTATGGTGATCAGCGTCTTTTTGTTGTGGGTGTATTGTTGTGAGAAGGGGGAGAGAGGATCTGTCACTGTGATTGATGGGTGTTGTTAGCTAATCTTTTGTGTGCAGTGATCACTGGTCCTTGTGGCTGGGGAGGCTTTGTTGACCTTTTGCAGACTGTATTTTTCAGTGCTGGGAGCCAGGCTTTGTTGAGTTTTAAACTTTCTTCTTTTTGTTGAAGCTCTGCTGGTGTTTGTGGATTTCAATGGCTTCCCTGTATATTCTAACATAATGATTGCTGGTGCTGTCCAGTACTTCTGTAGTTTGAAATAGAATTTCATGTTCAGCTTGTTTTAGGGCATGTTCCTCTACTGCCAATTTTTCTGGTATGTTTTAGTCTGCAGTGTCTCTCATGTTCTTTGATTCTGGTGTGAATGCTGCATTTTGTGGTTCCAGTATATACCTGTCCACAACTGCAAGGTATCTGGTATACTCCTGCAGTAGTGAGGGGGTCCCTTTTGTTCTTTGCTGACCATAACATTTGTTGTATTTTTGTGGTGGGGCTGAATGCTGTTTGTAGGTTGTGTTTTTTCAAAAGTTTCCCCATGTGGTCCATGACCCCTTTGATGTATGGCAAAAATACTTTATTTATGGGTGGCTGTTTTTCCTCTTCAGTTTGATGTTGTTTTCTTGGTTTGATGGCTCTTTTGATTTCATTCTTGGAATAGCCATTTGCATCTAGGGCCCAATTCAGATGGGCCGAACTCAACCACAAACCACAGTACCCTGCCCCTAGTGGGAGAAAGCTCCCTGTTTGCCCCTCTGAGCAAGAGGAGCCATGGCCAGTGGTCAATAAATCAGGGGATCCACAAGGCCAAAATGTTTGGGAACCACTGGTGTAGTGGACAGAGTGACTGAGTAGATTTCAAGTGGTGACAATCCCTGAGTTCAAATCCCTACTTGGTGATGTAAACTCATTAGGTGTGTGAAACTGGTGAACTCATTCCTTAAATATCTCGCTTATCTTGAAAGACTTGATAGGGTCACTATAAGTCTAATGTAACTTGATGGCATATAACACATACAAGACCAAACAGAATCTGAACTATTAGAAAGCATGTAGATGTTTTAAACATAGCTCTAATGATTATAGGGCTGAAGATTAACACCCTGGTAGGTCAGGGAATCAAAACCAAGGTAAAATTCAAGCTATAGTAAGGGTCCAGGGTACATAAGGTATATTTATACTGAACTGCTCCAATATATTAAGTAATTATCATACAAAGACTGTGTGCATAGGCCCTTTCTCTGGGGGTGTGAAAAGTATAATCTTCCAGATGTGGTCAGACTTTAGTTTCCATATCCCCTTACCACTCACTGGCTGTGCTGACTAGGACATCCTGCCATCGTATCCCCTTCCCATGAATATCCCCAAGGGCCCATCTTTCAGATCTTGATGCAGAAAAACTCACAAGGCCACCCAGCAAGCCCTTCTACCAGGGACCATAGAGATGGGGAAAGGAGAGGTAGGCACATGGCTTCCACTTTCAGTTCATATTTGACATAGAACTATGAAGGCAATAAAGGAGCTGTTCATAGAGCTATGAACAACATCCGTAGCTCCATGTTCCAGCCCTTTCCCATGGTGCCCCTGGCTGGGTTTCATGACGCCCCATGGAGCTGTGGCGCACAGTTTGGGAATCCCTGCAACTACACCAACACTGATCTTGGTTTGGAATGACTGAGTTAATAACTCAGGCATATACTGTATTTTTTGCACCATAAGACTCACTTTTTTCCCACAAAACAGGGGTGTGGAAAGTCTGTGCGTCTTATGGAGCGAAAAATACGGTAGTTTTGACTCAAGTTTAAACAGGAGTCATTTGCAGATGCTCATTTTCCCTGTTTGAGGAAAGTTGGAGAGAAAATGTCAACACTATATATATATTCTCACTCCAACAAGCTGCAAGGATTAAAGATATTTTCATCTTTGCTTTCGGTGTTGCAAAATGAATTGACCCATAAAAATCTTTCAGTGACAAAAAATGATAGGATCATTGACATAAAGCTGTTGTGGTTTCAGGAACTCTTTCTTCAGAAGTGGTAAAATTAGTGAATTTTATAAATGATATGAAATAACCTGAGCTTGGAAGAGCCAATGTGATAGAGTAACAGACTAGTAATCAGGAGACCTGGGTTCAAATCTCTGCTTTCACAGAAGTTTGGGGGGGGGATGCCATTGGTAAAACTTGTCCTTGGATATGTTATAGATGTTTTGATACAAATCAGATGTGACTTGATGGCACATAATACAATGTAAGATTGGAAGTGATGCTCTGAATGTAACTAACAAAGATTGAAATTTTTTGTAACTTTAGTTATGTGCTTATGTAAAATGTTTGATTAATGTCTTTATAATTGTTATAGGACAGCCTTGGACTGGGCTAAACATTTTGGACAAACAGAAGTGATTGATCTGTTGGAGTCTTATTGGTAAATCTCTTGCTGATTTCTCAAATGCATTAGGGTAGGAATCGGCGAAGTACAGAGCCAAGTTACTCTGAACCTTCCTGCATTGACCTCTGGATCAGGAGTCCCCAACCCCTGGTCTGTGGCCCGGTGCTGGTCCGTGGCCTTCCTGGAACTGGACCGCGGAGATGGATCTCTGCCCCCGCCTACCTGCATGGGCGTGTCGCGCTCGTGGAGGGGCATGCTTGAGCGTGGCACGGCCCTCCATGAGTGCAACACGCCCACCTGCGAGTGCAGGGGTGCCCCTGCCCTGCCGCACAGTGCCCGCACCCCCCCAACCGGTCTGCGGTCCTGAAAAGTTGGGGATCGCTGCTCTAGATCACAGATGATGCTCCCCAGATCTACAGTAGATGTTATTCTCCTTAGGCCTATTTTGCACCCTGGAGTCTTTTAGAAACTGGGAGTGAGTGTTTTGTTTTAATGGCCTTTTAAAGCTCAAAGTAGGCGCACAAGGGTTGGAAATTATGCTTATGACAAATAACATCCTTCTGAGGTTTGTTGGGGAGGAGCAATTTATGATTTCAAGTCAGAAAAAAAAGATGCCAGGTAATGAGAGTTTTGGCAGTGGGTGGTGCGGTGGAAGGCAGAAATGACCTCTGGGATCCTTGGAGGTTGCCCAGCCTTTTGCTAGAGCAGGGGTCCCCAACCTTTTTAACCCCATGGACTGGTTGGGGAAGGCGGGGCACCCCCGCGCTCATGCAAAGGAGCGCATGTGCTTTTGTGCATGGGTGAAGGAGCAGGAGGATGCTTGTGCTGGCGCTCGCTCATGCGCATGCACGAAGGGTGGTGCAGTGCTTGGGTGGGCGCTCAGGAGCATGCGTGAAGGGCGGCACGGTGCTTGGGGGGCACGTGTGTGCATGCGCAAAGGAGTGGGGGAGCACTCGTGTGGGTACACATGCACAAAGGGGCTGTGCGGGGAGGAGTGCGTGCGGGGTGGGTGGGGGATGTCTGTCTCCATGACCTGGTCCGGCTCAGGACACGGACCGGGGGTTGGGGACCTCTGCACTAGAGAATTATCTCATGGAGCTGCCCATTCTCATGAGCTAAATCAGGAAGTTTATCAAAGCTCTTAGTTATGCACTCTCTGTACTTGAATCAAAGCCTGTCTGATTCTTTCTAAAAATCTGTCTGATGTAGCCCAATGTACTAGTAAACAAGAACATTTCAGTGTAAAGTTAAAGCAAGTTGTAAGGAGTTTCTAAAAATAATTTGAAGAGATGGTTGTTGTAGATTTTTTGCGCGGTCTGGCCGTGTTCTTGAGGTTTTTCTTCCTAACGTTTCGCCAGTCTCTGTGGCCAGCATCTTCAGGACAGCAGTGAGAACTCTTGTCTGTGCTCTGAGTTCTGACTCCTGTCCTCTGAAGATGCCGCCACACAGACTGGTGAAACGTTTGGAAGAAAAACCTCGAGAACATGGCCAGACAGCCCAAAAAATTTGAAGAGTCTTATTAGCCAAAATCCTATTGTATAAATTTATACTGGTGGAAGCTGATTATGTCATCATCTAGTGCTGATAAAATTTAATTTAAATTGAACATTTCCTATCCTCCTGTTTCAGGTTCTGATGCTCCCCAGGGCTTCCTTTTGCCCTTGGGGAGCCTTGGGATGCGAAAGGGAAGCATTTAATAGCCAGAAATCATCACTGGTAGTCCTGACACCCGAGCTGTGATCAGCCATGGTTTTCATTTACTACTAAAGTGCCCCTCTTCTTGTTCTAAAAACTTCCTCAGGGTAAAAGGGAGCTGTAGGGTGCCTTGGAAACTGAATATGAAGGATAAGAAGCTTTCAGTTAAGTTAAATTTACCGGCACAGATTGTGATGTTATGAGTGGGTGCTTTTGTTGTGTCAAAAGCCCTTGGGTTCATAGAAGGCATCCAGATATTTCCATATTGTACACATACTACTGTGTTTAAGTTTTTGTTATCTATTTCAGTGCCTCACTAGAGTCTGGTAATCTAGATGAAAGTTCCTTGGTCCATGCTAATGCAAGTGAACTTAGTGCTGAAGATCGAGAAATCCTGAAAGCTTATCATCACAGTTTTGATGATGAAAAGGTGGATCTTGACTTGATCATGCACTTGCTGTTCAATATCTGTCATAGCTGTGATGCAGGTTAGTTATTAATAATTATCAATACCAATAAATAGCATAAATAATTATGTATTAATAATTATGGCCAAAAGCCAGTAGTTTATTTTTTTAACTAATATCACCACATGTGATGCTTTCTGCCTCTTCACCCCAGTCCCTGTGTAACCCTTTATTGTGTGAATACCTACTCCAGAAAGTTTCCAAGCCATTTCTGGAGCAAATTTCTGACATAGGGGATTGAGGAGAGGATTACGAATTCTGGCAGAAGCAGCAGGTTCCTGTAGAGATATGGTGTTGGCTTCTGATACAGACTCACAAGTTTTAAAACCAGTTACAGGAGAATGATGTGCACTGTGTTTCGCCATATAAGCTTCGCTACTTATGAATGCTAAGTGCAAATCAAGGCCTGCAAGTTCCATCTGTATCTTCACTTGTGTATTTGATTAAACTGACCTTTTGGTATAAGTGAGCGAAGTCTTCCAGAGGTTTATATACTTCAGCTACTGTGTTTTTGTCCTTACAGTTAGATATGATGGGGAGTTTGCATCATAACTCTTTTGTAGCTGGGGCTTTTACAAGCAGGGTCTGCATCAGAGGTGAGCAGAGTATGGACCCCCAAATGCAGCCTCCAGCAGCCCTAGGTGGCCCCACATGCCCCCACCCCCGTTTTACTCAAAAAGTCCTATTGTCCTTCTCAAGGATAGGATGGGACAACTTAGCCATATTTGAAGGCCATGGCACCTCTGTCTCCTGCACACTGCCTTCCAAGTTTTACTTTAAAAAATGGCCACTAGTGGGCTTTTTCAATTAAAAATATCTGGATAGTGCTAATCTGATGTTTTGTTTACAGTTTTGTCTTGGTTGTAAACTGCCCAGAGTGGCCTTTGGTTAGATGGGTGGAATGTAAATTAAATAAATAACATCTTCTTCAGAAGTTTTTGCTCTGTTGAACTGTTCATAGAATCTTACTTCTTCATTGGAAACTGTTCTTTTCATCACATGTCTTGGTCATTTATTCATCAGAGAATCAAAAAATCTGGTTTTGCTGGTGCTGGAACTCAGTGCTGCCTCATAGTGTTTTGAATAGCACTACTGTGTACAGAAATATATTTTAAAATTAATAAATAATTTCTGTTTAATGGGTTACTTTGAAGGAAGGAATTTGATTTCCAGAGAATAATATTGTATAAATAAAAACATCATTTTAAAAGTTCAAATCTTGTATTTATCTGATCTTTATTAAAGATATGTATGCCTATGTTGTGGGACATGGTGGCGCTGCGGGTTAAACTGCAGAAGCCTCTGTGCTGCAAGTTCAGAAGACCAACAGTCATAAGATCAAATCCACGCGATTTAGTGAGCTCCTGTCGCTTGTCCCAGCTCATGCTAACCTAGCAGTTTGAAAGCATGTAAATGCAAGTAGATAAATAGGTACCACCATGGTGGGAAGGTAATGGCGTTCCATGTCTAGTCACACTGGCCACATGACCATGGAAGCTGTCTATGGACAAATGCCGGCTCTACGGCTTGGAGACGGGGATGAGCACTGCGCCCTAGAGTTGGGCATGACTGGACTAAATGTCAAGGGGAACCTTTACCTTTATGCTTTGTTTGTGGTGAGGAGTTCATTATTTTTATTTAAAGAAATACATCATTTCATTATATAGTAAAGAAATAAATGATTTCATTATTTAGCAATACTTAAAAAAATTATTTACAAAGCTAATTAGCCACTTCAGTCATGTCCCTTCTGAGTCCAGCCACATCGCCTTTTGGGACCGCAGCTTCCTAACTACTGGCCAATCTGAAAAAGTAAACTTGTCCTCATCAAAGCTACCTATTCTGACCAACCGGTTTGTAGATGTAGATGGACAGGCTTCCCCCAAGCCTCATTCTCGCCATTGCTACCACATGCTAGCTTTCATTTGAACTAGCCTGTATTGGAAAAACAGATGTTATGCACAACTTCCTCTGATTCGTCTTCATTTATTTTTGCCTTCTAGGAGCAGTTTTAATTTTTCTTCCTGGATATGATGAGATTGTTGGCTTGAGGGATCGCATTCTATTTGATGACAAAAGGTTTGCCGATAACAATCACAGGTAAAAGTCTGCACCACTTTAATTTTGACTTTTTATTGTACTTCTTCTCATACAGAACTACTCTTCATTTAATTTCATTCATACTCCTTTGCTTCTAGATTCCAAGTTTTTATGTTGCATTCAAATATGCAGACATCTGATCAGAAGAAAGTGTTAAAGCCCTCACCTCCAGGCATACGCAAAATAGCAAGTATCAAGTGATTTTTCAACCAATCATGAATCTTCATTTTTGTTTGTGAATTGTTGCTACAGTATAACATTTATGTCCCTACAGATACTTTCTACAAATATTGCTGAAACAAGTATCACAGTTAATGATGTTGTCTTTGTGATTGATTCCGGAAAAATGAAGGAGGTATGTTATCCCAAATATATGTTATAAACTTAAATTTATGAACTAGTATCGCTTAGTAGAGGAATATAAAGCCTTACATAATGCAAGCAAAGTATTATTGTTTTTAAAGTAAAATTTTAGAACACCATTTCTAAAGTACAATATGCAGTGAAATAACTTCGTATAGAACTCTTGGTAATTTAGTTTTCTTAGTGATGCAAATGTTCATGTTGCCACAGTCATCAAAATGAATTCATAATTCCACTTTTCCCCCCACCATTTTAGAAGTCCTTTGATGCATTGAACTGTGTAACAATGTTAAAGATGGTATGGATTTCTAAAGCTAGTGCCATTCAAAGGAAGGGCAGGTAATGCCAAGTTATTTCTTTTGTATAACAAGATTGGAAATATATTTTAAAAAAGAAAGGTGTAAAGTTTTTGCTTCTGGGAAACTAGAATTACTGTTAACAGGAAGTAGTTTTTGAAATAAAGTATTGCGTTTTTGTGCAGGATAGGATATATTGATGAAAAAATACTTCTAGAAATTGCTGGTAAGAACCTAATAATTGATTGATAGTTAGGAAGACATGTAATTATTTATTTATTTTATATTTATTTATTTATTGGACTTATATACCGCCCCATAGCGCTACAAGCACTCTCTGGGTGGAAGACATGTAATTATGCATTTCTCACTACATCTTTGGATCACCCTGGAATTAGATTACTGTTGTGTCATATTGCAAATTATTTTGGCTTCTAAAACAGGTATTTCTAATGAACAGAATCTCTAAGATTATATTTTTTTCTATTTTGAAACATTAAGATCTGTTTTGGTGCCTTTTTTGTTTTTGTTTTTTGCTTGAATTCCACTATTTTGATTGACCTTCAATACTGCTTTGTTTCCAAGGGCAGGACGTTGTCGACCTGGAATTTGTTTCCGACTTTTCAGTAGACTAAGGTTTCAAAATATGCTGGAATTTCAGACTCCAGAGCTTCTAAGAATGCCTCTGCAGGTGAGTGATCTTCCTCTGTTCTTTCATTAAATCTGTACTTTAGCCATTCTCCCTTCCCAGCACTCGCAGCTGTTGCTACTTAATTTGCTACTGGCTAATTTTGTGGCAAAGTGCTCCTTTTCCTCTAAAGTTGTCACTATGCTTCAGTGTTGTGGCAGCAAATGGAGTCAAAACATACCTGGAGGAAGTGGGCTGCAGCCCATGTCATTTATTGCCAAATAAAACTTAACTAGCTTTGAAAGTGTCACAAGACTCTGTAATACTCTGAAGATAACAGTTCTGCTTTAAAATAATGGCTGAAATCCTGTTGCTTAGTGCAGGAAACTTCATAACTTTCAGTCTGTTTCTAACTAGCAAGCCAGTGTGGGCACAAGGACTGAGAACTGCAGTGTGTCTCTTTGCCAGCTAGGAATGGTTTGAAAGTGGTAGATTTTCATAAGCTAATTAAGAGGATTTCAGCCAATATGTATGGCTAGTATAACCTTGTTTTGAAGCCAGATTTGTACTTCAGGAGATTCTGTAATGTGCTTTGGAAGAAGGTATGAGCCTCCTGCATTGTTTTAAAGCAACCTGGTTTATTCCACCAGTTACTTTTTCATTATGCAACACACCACCAAATCTAAGAAGTGGTGGAGGTCTGGCCGTTCAATGAATTGCAAGTACCGTATTTGCCGGTGTATAAGGGGACTGGGAGTATAAGACGGCCCCCCCAACATTCCCACTCAGAATGTAGAGTTTGTTATATACTTGCTGTATAAGACTACCCCCTCTTCCGCATTCGTGATTCTGCTTTGGCTGCATCATGGGGAAAGTTCCTTTTGCCCCTTTTGGTTCCTTTTCGGAGGCGGCAGCCATTTTGGAGAGGCGGCAGCCATGTGGTCGCTTCTCAAAATGGCTGCCGCCTCTCTGCTGTTCCGACAGCTGTTCGGTGCTAGAGTCAGGCTGTTTCCAGGCTAGGAGCGGGGCTCTACTGGGTCTTACTACCAGGTAAGTGACTTCACTGGGAGAGAGGGAGGGTTTGCTAGACATGCACCCGTCGTACGAGACGACCCCTCCACTTGGAGGCATGTTTTTCAGGGCCAAAAGTCGTCTTGTACGCCGGCAAATACGGTATATCTTAGCACTCCCAATGTCCAGAAGTTGTTCATGTGCTTCTAGTGATCTTTGTAATGCCTAAATACTTTGAATATACAGTCGTGCCTCGCTTTACGATTGCCCCACATTACAATGAAACCACATTACGACGATCTTTTTGTGATCGCAATTGCGATTGCAAAAGGATGGTCTAAATGGTTTTTTTTTGCTTTGCGATGATTGGTTCCCTGCTTTGGGAACTGATTCTTCGCAAAACGACAATTTTAAAACAGCTGATCGGAAGTTTCAAAATGGCTGCCGGGTAAACAAAATGGCTCCCCGCTGTTTTCTGGGACGAATTCCTCGCAAGACAGGCAGCGAAAACGGCTGCCCTATGGAGGATCTTCGCTGGACGGTGAGTTTTGACCCTATTGGAACGCATTGAAGGGGTTTCAATGGTTTTTTTTCCGCTTTAGGATGTTTTCGCTTAAAGGCGATTTTCTGGAACAGATTATCGCCATTAAGCGAGGCACCACTGTACGCTAGACTGAATTCAACAATTCTTCCACTGATGGTAATGTTTCATATGCAGAGTTCCAAACAGAATGTTCCTACCCTGCAACCCTCTGAAATTTTTATAAGGCTTCAGTCTGTTTCTGATTTGTTTTGGATTAAGATTTATTGGACTGTATGGAATTTGCTTCTGAAACTGTACAATATTGTGCTGTAGATGTATTTTTTTAATGTAAGTAAATCATACTGTGTTTTGTTGCTTTAAAATTTTCTAGGAGCTTTGTTTGCATACAAAACTGCTAGCTCCTATCAATTGTCCAATTGCTGACTTTTTAATGAAAGCTCCAGAGCCGCCACCTGCTTTAATTGTGAGAAATGCTGTGCAGATGCTTAAGGTGAGTAAATGGAATGCAGCTTTGTATATTTTTGTCACACCACTTAAAGTATTTAATTTTGGCATCAGTGTTTATTTAATACTGGCTTGCTCCTCAGTCCTGATATATTCAGAATCTTGTGAACTTTCTGGCTTGTTCAGCCACCTAGAGTGGTCACAATGACCAGATAGGCGGGGTAATAAATAAAAAAATAAAAAAAATACAGTTTTCTGAGCACATCCAGGGAGCGTATGTGTTGATATGTATCCCATGAGACTTTGGAACTTCCTCCTACGGGAAGCCAGGCTTGCCGCACCTTCGCTATTCTTATGGCAGGCTTTTCTTTAGTGACTGTCTGTCTATGAAAGGTTTTAAAACAAGATGGATTATGTTTTTGTATTTTAAATCTGTTTTTTCCTAACATTTTTAATATGTTTATTTAATAAATAAGTATTTATCTGCCCCAAAATTTCTGCTATCTGTCTTCCCAATTCCTTTAATGCCTGACCAAACAAAGGGGCTGACTCTGGAAATATGTAACAAAAGTTACTGCTCTTCCTTCCCTCCCTCCCTTCCTCCGCCCCTTTCAATTATTTATATAAACACACACACACCCCATTAGTGCTCAGCACTATTCTGGGGGGTTTACATAAAAAACATGAATTTCCCTGTACAGCTAGACAGCCTGTAAATAATTAAGACAGCAAGATAATGAAAACATTGAACATACAGTGGTGCCTCGCTTAACGAGTG